AAATATATTTATTTAATTGCAAATTAATATGTAAAATTTTGTGTAATTACATTTTAATTCAAATATATCAAGTTGATATATCATGCTTAATAAGATGACTAATATTTGATATTAAATTTTATTTAATATATTATAGTATATAAATATAAAAAATAATTATTAATTTAAATATTTAAAATAAAATATAATTTAATTTTATTTTAGTTTATAAATAGAAATTTAGTAGAATTTTTTTTAATAATTCTTTAATTAATAATCTCAAAGAACTGAACTACAAAAAAAATACTAAAGTATGACTTAAAAAATAATACTTTTAGTTTTATATAAAATAGATAATTTGTTAATAAAATTAAAGATATAAAATGCTAAAAAATAAATAAAATTTTAATAATTTGTATTTTATAATAAGTTTTTTTAATAGACATTCTAAAATATTTAATATTCAAATTAAAAAATATTTTAAAAAATAGTAAACTAAGATTATTAAAAGCTTAAAAATACTTTTATTTAACTAAAATTTTGTAATATAATTTGATTTAATTTAATTAAATATTTAAACTCAAATTAATTTAATACAAAATTTTAAATTAAATAAAATTCAAATATAATTAAATTTAATTTAATTTGATAAATATTTAATTTTATTTAAAAAATTATAATTAAACATTTAATATTATAAGTTTTTTATTTAAAATTTTAATAATACTAAAAATATTTTAATTAGAAAAACATTTTTATTTAAGAACTCAAAGTTGATTAATTTAATAAAAATTTTTATAAATTAGTTTTTTTTTAATAATTAAACTCAGATTTAAGTTTTTAGAATTAAATTAAATTCAAATCAAAATAAATTTAATTTAATCAAATTTAAATTAATTTAATATTTGATTTAATTTAATTTTAAAAAACCTTATATGCAATTGTAAAACTTATATAAAAATTCTTAAATAGTTTTATTGATCTTTACTTTTTCTTTAAGTAAAATTTTTATAAAAGAATTTATCTAAATAATGCTTTCATGCACTTAGTACATTCAATAATTAAATAAGCACAATATAATTTTTATAAAACAAATATAAACTTTTAATATTAGGCAATGATAAAGATTAAAAATAAGAATAAAGTATAATTTACAGTAAAATTTCACAAAAAAATATTTTTTCTTAGTATCTTCAAAGATGTTTTTATAGTAGGATTTTGTTATATTAAGAAGATGCATTAAGTGCATAAAGCGTTATTTAACAAGATTCTTTATAAAAAATAAATAATTTAACTTATCATATTTAAAAGATTAATATATAAATTCATCAAAACAATTAATAATATTTATTTTTCAAAACAAGATTGTTTATAGTATAGACTGAAAACAATATAATTTATAAATAAACACAATTTATACATATGCTTTAATGATTAAAAAACTGGTAAACATTATTTTAATACTAAGCAATACCTATTTTTAACATTTTTACAACATTGAGTCAAAGTTTTTTTCTATATAATTTTTGCTTATACATTCTAAATAAATGAAAATAATACTACTTCGAATTCTCTATTTAATTTATTTGTTACTGAAAATTTCAGAAAAAGTTGAGTTGGACATTTTTGTTGTTATAGCAACATATAAAATGTTGGTGAAGCCTAAAAAGAGGAAACAGAAACCAAAATTATTGGAGTCGACATTTTGTTTTTCTGTTCGTTTTAATAAAGTCTTGAAATTGTTGAAGAGTGTTTCTATTTTTGTATTTCGAACACAATAATCTCTAAATGGTAATAATAAAAGGGTTTGTTCATACGTACGTAATTTATTGTAATACTTGAGCACCATCACGGTCATAAAATTAATACATTGAGGAAGATGCATGAACATAATTCAATAATACTGTCGTGCTTTAAGTTAGCATCTGCCTGATCTAATTTCAGGGGTTAATTTAGTTAATTTTGGTTGGTGTGCCTAAATTGGTAACTTCAAGCAAGTGTCAACTTCAAGCACGACAATACTACCATTCATACTATTGGACTTTAACGATGCTCTAATTAAATATTTGTTGTACACTATCACAACTCACATCGAGCGTGCTGCTTGAGAACATCCTTAGTTAAAGTAACTTTAAATGAAAACAGATAGTCTACGCCTTTATATTTTATTTATCGATATTATAATTCACTTAGTTTATTATATTTTTGACTAATTAAAACTTTGCTTCTAATCCACCGTGTGAGGTGCTTGAGGACACTCTTTAAAATATTAAACTATAAACATTACTCAAGTCCATCACGAGATAAATAACATGAAAAAATTAGGCCTAATCGTTTCTTGGTCGAATGTAAAGTTTTAATTCATGACATTCATTAGCTAAAGTATAGACCTTTTTTAAAGGAGCATTAGGATCTTCTAACGAAATCTCATATTTTCTAAAAATCAAAGCTATAAAAGTCTTAATACCAATCATTCCTAAATGACGACCTGGGCATTGACGGATGCCACCACCGAATGGTATAAAGCTATTTTTTTCAAATTTATTGGTATTATTTAAAAATCGTTCTGGTATAAATTCTTCTGGATTTGACCAATGAGATTTGTTATGATGAATATAATGTTGATGAACAAAGAACTCTTGTCCTGCTTTCCAGTTTAAACCACCAATCGTGACATCATTTATTGCGCGTTTAAAAACAGAGGGAATAGTTGGCATTAACCGAGATGATTCTTTTGCAGCTGCCTCTACATACACAAGTTTTTCGACATCGTCATAAGTCACTTGCCGGGTTTTATCTCCTCGAAAAATATTATCAATTTCGGCATAGACTTTAGCCTTTTTATCAGGGGTTTTACAGAGGTAATATATTAAAAAACATGTCGAATTGGCAGTCTATATTATTGTGTGATGTTAATTCTATGTTAATCTGTATATTCATGATGATAAATAAAGAAATAAATAATATTTACTGTATCAATACCACCACCAAGAACTTCAAAAATACAATATTTAATCTCTTCATCAGTCATAGGTCGAGAGAATTCTTCATTTGCTTTTATGGAATGTTTGTCCCTATCTGTATTAGCGCAGATAAGCAATGTTAAGATATCTGAATTTAAAGTTTCTTTTATTGGAGTATTTTCAATTTCTTTCCTTCTCTCTTTAATGAAACCAATCAAATAATTATCTAACCATTCTATATTACGCATATACTTTCTGTAAAGAAAGTTCATAGGTGGAACATAATGACGAACAAATCTTGGTACAAAGTAAAAGAAATGTACGGATTTTAACCAAAGTCTAAGACGATCAATAAATTCTTCAGATTGATAAAGATCAAGATCAGAATGTAAAGTTCTCAAATATTTTGGCATAAGACGGTTATATTGAGCTGCCATCACATATGCAGGTTTTCCTATACTAGCTAACGAAGTAACGTCTGTAAAAAATCTAGTTAACCAATCAGAGAAATCCAATATATCGTTATTATTTTCTTTCATCAAATTTACCCAGTAATTTTCAAGTTCATGAAAAACTTTTACATTTTCACTGACAAATTGTCGAAGGAATGAAGGAACCATGATAATATTTGTTATGATTCGCCGGTTGAATTTCCAAGAAACAAGGTCATTATTAAACGATATTCCTTTAGTTGTTATTCCCATTTCATCGAGTCCTTCACTAATGGCCCGAATTGGAAACTTTGTTTTCGTGGATGGATTATGGATTTTTTCGACAAGTTTTGCATTACCTAACCAGATCTTACGATCGGAACCTAGATAGATTTCGAATAATTCTCCATATTTTTCTTGAAGATTATAAAATACTACATCAAAGTCACCATGAAGCAAGTATAAATTTCCTATCCCGGGTAAAGGTAGAGGTCCTGGAAGTGGATTTTCTCTAGTAAAATACTTATAGTAATAAATGATTACATATATTAGAATAATTATGAAAATTTGCAATAACCAGTCTTTGGCTGTCAGTGAAAAAATAGATAAAATCAGATTCTCTACGGTAGAAAAATTCATATTTAAAGGTTAATAGTATGTACGCACGTATGTTTATCGAAGAGTTTGACGAATTTATATTATTGTGCGTATAATTCTTCACAGCATATAACCAATTGCCATTTAGAGAATTCTCAGTGAAACGCTATTCTTGGCTACGTAGTAATAGTTTTCAATATCTGCAGCATATATGTAAAAAAAGTCAAATTTACCTGTTATGTTTTTGCTGTAATTGACATTTTGTAGAAAAAACTCTCAAATCGTCACCGAATAATCTTACAACTAGAGTAGCACTATTTAGGTGGATAACCCTTAATCTGTAGATAGATTATTCCGGACAAATTTACATCTTGTTACATACAAATTTATTTCTTGATTTTTAAATTGCAAAAAAAGGTTAAGTTGTTACTACATATAATTTTATATTTATCGATCATGTAAATTGTACCTAATATTAATTAGAATTACACACCACCCAGCTAATATTGCATGTTAATAACGAAGGTTAAGTGAATTCGAAATTTCCTAATAACCCTAACTCTTTAATCTTAAATTCATCCAAGGTCCATTCTCAAACAACAATAATACATTTTCAAATGATCCATTAATTTATTACAAGGTTGATGTGTTTAAACTTTTGAATGAAATTTTCTAAGCACAAAACACTATAAAAATTTAAAATATAATTTTTAGTGATTTCTAAAAAATGTATTTATTTAATAACGACACTACTAAAATGCACCATAGATGTTTAACACCATAGTTTCATATCTCAAAAACTATCTAATTGAGTAAGACCAGGTATACTAAGTATTGTGATACCGGAATATCGTGATCGATTACGTGAAAAATACACGAAATGCGGTATTTCGGATGCAGAGGGGTAGAGGGGGAGGATGTAAGGATAAATTATACATCCTTAAAGAAATAAAACATCACTTGAAAAATTAAATAAGTAATTGTAAATAACATTAGAAGTCTTAAAGTAATAATAAGTGCGAAGTCGCATTTGTAAGCGACGAATTCAATAATATAAATAAAGGCCGAAATGCCCTTAGGAGCAGTATGCTTCGTTTGCTTTATTAAATTACAAGTCCCAATACATTATATCGTCTATAATAAAATACTAACACTATACTAGTGTTCCGAGTTGGTAAACATTTTTCCAATCGATTAGTTGCCAACTATAGTTGCAACTAATCAACTTTTTCTATCATGTGACTAAATTGGTTGATTGGCCAATCAAACTAAAGAAATCAACCCGAATAGATGGAATATCTCAGAATTTAACTGGTTGATGATTTAATCAACTAGTTGTTTTAAAATTTTCCAAATCAATTAGTTGGAAAGTTGTCAACTAGTTGGTTTTTCAACTAATGATTTGGATTACTACACTATTAGGGTTGAAAATTACATAAATTACATTTACATTATGTTTAAATTACATTGTAAATTTCAAAATTATAATGTAAATTTACATTTAATAGTGTACTAACACATGATTAGTTTACTAGCATATAGAAGCTTGACCAGATCTTTATTATTCATAAAATAATGATTTGTATATTATTTTTACAAGTACATTAAAATTTAAAGCAATTTCTAATGTTTTAATTTTACATTACAATGTTAAGGCAAAAAATATTTATAGCTATATTTTTACTTACTATCAAATTCATATTCACTGTCATCAAATATATTTAGAAGTCTATTAGTAAAATTATCTTCAAACATTTCATTGGTTTTCAATAATAGTTCTTGATTATCTAAGTGAACATCATTTACATTATTATTAATTGTAATTATATTATTTCATAAGTTCTTACTTGATATAAATCTTTCTAATTGACAAAGAACTTGTGTATTCCAGTATATATAAATAAGTTTTTCTGCTTTTTCAGTAAGCATCTAATTACATAATTTTGAATAAATATATTCATAAACTGACTAATTACACCCACTAGCTGCTAAAATTACTAAAATTATTAAGATTTTTTAAGCAACTTGGCTTAATATTAGATATTGTATACTCAATAGATTCTACTAATTTAATAGGTTTAAAGTAAAATCTTTCTATAGATACTTTTTTGCAAAATCACATGATTTTGTAATATATTTTGCAAATTCATTTAATACTTAGTTTTTGTTATTATTACCTATAATTCAAATTATTTTATTATTTATTTGATCTACTCAAATATTATAATCAAGTTTTTATCTCTATATCTTAGATTAAGAATATAAGTAACTATAACTATAAGATTATATAAAAAATTAATCTATTGGTTTCAGGCTGTTTGCAAAGAATTTTCATATAGTTTATTTGGAACTTGTAAATTATTTATAATTTTATTTTTTAAATCTTGTAGTATTTTATATGCTGATGAAAGATATGGTTTGTTATTTTCTAATTGATATATAAAAATAAAAAACAATTTTAAAAAATTATGAAGATTTTAAGATTTGACCAAAATGTATAATCTACAATTGTTATTTTAATATTTTCATTTATTTCATTGTTATTTTTAGTTAATAAAGTATATATTACAGTTTGAATTTATAAAATATGATTAAACCATTTAAAAACTGATGTTCATCTAGTCTCAACAGTTAATATAAATGTAACTTCAATATTATACATTTCTTTTTATAAGCAATAAAGAATTACCAAAGGAATTTAATAATTACAAAAAAATAAAACCAATTTCTTGATTTTTTTTAGAATTTGTAATACCTATTTATTTTTAAAAATGTCTTTAACCTAAAGATTAATTCTATGTATTCAACATCCTAAAAAAAATCGTATTTTGATATTTATCTTTTAAAATTTTCTATATGACTTTTATATTATTTGTATTATTAATAACTATATTAATAAATTTATTGATTCCAATTTCATGCTTCACATCTTTAATTTCTTTAGTAATATTTTCTACAATATAATATTCATCAGTAGTACAAACAAATTTATAAAAAATCAGATTAGGTATAGTTATTATATAATTAATTACTATGATTTATTAATGTTTGATCAATCATCATTAATCAAAAAATGATAAGATGTTTCATCAAGAATATTTAGAACATCTGCTTTTAGATTTGTATATTCTTTATTAAGAAGTGATTTAGAAAGAATATATCATGATAGAATATTAAAAGAAGGACAAGCTTTTTTAAGAAAGACTTGAAAATCCATATTTTTAATTATATTAAATAGAGTTCCTGATATATAAAAAGCATGAGCAAATAAAGATTCCAATTTGATTTAATTTTCTTAAGTTAAACCATCTGAATTTGAAAGTTTTTGTCTTTTATTAGCATTAGAGGTTTTATCTATTTTATGTAAAACACAAACATCTAAATGTTCTTGTAATCAAGTTGCATTTTTTGCATACTCATTACTATATGACTTACATTTATAATGTTCTTTACTCTTTTTATTAATTCACATTTCATATCATTTTCACATATCAATATTTTTGATTCGAACCATTTTTCAATAGGAAGCTTCATGATTATTATATAAAGCTTTATGATTATTTATTTAATTTATTTTTTATACAATTGATATATAAAAATATAATAGACTTTTTTTTATTATATCAAAATGATATAATTATATGCAATAGTAATAAAATCTACATTTATTAGTTGCATACAAACATATGAATGTACGAACGTACATATTACGAAATTGATCAGTATTAATCACATGATATAAAAATTACATGAAATTTTAATTTAGAAACTTACCGAAAATTATGCAAAATTACACAAAAGAACGGTAATTTTACAACCCTATACACTATACCCAGTACAAACCCTGTAAAATTCGTTATTCGTTCGAGTTCTTTATCACATGACTTACCCTACTTCTATTCGTTGACCCAAAGTAACCGAAAGCCTTAATCACCCACCAGCCAAATCTAACACCCTCTTTCGAAAAGGTTACCTACCGAAAGTTACACGACATTTTGGATTGTGGAGCGACCGAGTCGCAATCTTCCGAACCCAACAGTATAAATGTTCAGAACCCCAAAAATCTTATGCTAACCTAAATTTGGCTTTTATATCTGACCTGTAGTTAGTGTTCCAAATCGAAAATCGATTAATCGTTAGTTAATCGAGTTGGCGACTAATCGATTGATAATTTTATTAAACAACTAATCGATTATCAACGATTGATCGACTAATGGTTAGTTAGTTAATCGATTAGTTGACTAATCGACTACAGGACTAGTTGTTTTATACAGTATCATACTTTTTTTGATTTTTGTGATTAGTAGCTACGCAATTATATCCAAGCCATTGCGATATACCAACTAATCGATTACTACCTGTAGTTGCATCCTAACCCTAAATTTTTGCAAAAAAAAAATAAACTCCATAAACACCATAGATGAAGTTTATAATAACTGTTTAAAAATATCAATGTATTTTTGCAACAATCATAACCTCTCTATAACAAGAGGAACCGTTGATATTACACGACTGATCTTTCATCCGGTGTGCAACATATAAAAAATTGGTTTACAATACCAGATAATTCCGCTAGTACTTGTTATGATTATAATAAAATAATAAAATGGTGTGGGATTATAGTCATAACAAGTACTAGCAGAATGATCTGGTATTGTAAAATAATTTTTATATGTTGCACACCAGGTGAAGGATCAGTCGTGTAACATCGACGGTTCCTTTCTATAGCATGAAAAAAAATCATTTCCTTCATAGTGAGATTGGCTATTTTTTTATTACTATGAATATTCATCAGTCCCTTACATGTCACGAATTTAATAATAAATGTGCGTAAGATTTTATATTAAAATGATGACCAGACAAGGAAGTTGATATATTGTCACTAACGTTAATATTCTACGGTATAAATTTGATGTCTTTTGAATACACAAGCCAGATTGGGAATTAAATGTACCCGGAATTTTATCAGCAGTTAGAGAACTTTCGTTATGACAGCGATAGTACATACGTAGTGATCCAAATCATTAGTTGAAAAACTAACT